TAGAAAAACATCAGCCTGTGAATCGGTTTATTTACAGCTATTAAAGAAAATAAGCCAAAATAAATTCAAAAGTAAAACAAATAAAACTGAGACCTTTTGGAAAACATTCTGTCCAGTAACACCAAATTTATTTGTGCCATCAGCTAAAACAAATAGCAAAATTTATTTTATCACCTTGCCTTCTTAAACATAGGGTAAAGTTCATAACCCCTGTCTTCAGAATTAAGCATCTTTTATAATTGTATCCCATTATAATGTCTATTGTTTATGTTTGCCTTTTATTTAATGTTAGACTGTCACCTTAGTGGCCATTTGTTTCAAACTGTACTCCTGCTTCCAGGTCTTATTTTTTGTTTCTCATCTGCAATAAACTAAGTAACAAAACCTAGTTTAGTTAACTAACTGTATATGTTAAGAGTTAGTAAATCCAAGTTGGAATAAATTACTTAAATTGGGAGACAACTGTGTAACAGCTATTTTGTTCTAAGCTATTTTTCCCCAAAGTTATTTTCTCTAATCTTTAGGGACTAAATTGAGAGATTATTTTGCCTTTAGAGAGCACATTTGCAGTTTCTTGTGGATGCTACAGAAATATAGAACAGCATGCAACTGTCTCCACAAACAGACGACCTTACTACAAAATTCATACATGTCCTGCATTTTGAGCAGAATCAGAAGAATGCTGCATCTCTTGTTGAACAGAGATACAAGTGCATTGTTTTTCTCCATTAAGTTTATTTTCGTTAGTTGGTTTAAGATCCTTTAGGTATATATGGAACCCAGTAAACAGGGGAAAACAAAATTCCAGAAATGGTTGCTATATATAGATTAGTTGTTCAGAGAGACCTTTTAAATTAATTTTGGAAATTTCAGAAACTACAATTTAGAAACTTGAGCCAGTACAGATCTTCTTTCATATCTTTCTAGAGGAAAGTGTTTTTCTTTAATCTTTCTTTAATAAGAGTTATGAGAAATTAGAAGACAATATTTTGTATTGTATGTAAGACTGCCAAGATCAGAGTGGTGCCTGTAAGGAAAAAGCATGATAAACTGGGTAAAAACAACCTCTGGTTCTAGGTCTTTTATATTCTCATCCCCCTACACCCTTGTGGCTATAAATCATTAGAAATAAACCTTAAGCTCAGGAACAAAGATCCCCTTTACGAAATATCTCTCGATTCTACTTCTTAAAAAGCCATCTTGCCATCTAATTCCTCCACTGAAGCGCCAGCTCTCCCCTCCCCCCACCTCATACCAGGACCTAATTGCAGCGCGCGCTGGCGCCACAGGCCACCTCTTCCTCTCTGCGGCCGCAGCAGAAAGCGGCAGGTCACAGAGTAGGCGGCAACCACAGATCTCCTCGGAGAAAGTCTCTGGAGAAAAAGTCTAGGCCTCCCTTATTCTCAACACCCAAAGCTGGCAAAGTAAACAAGGCACCCGAAGCATCAAGAAAAAAGGCCAGAAATGAACCCGCCTATAGTTCTGGTAAGGGCTGAGCCTACAGCAGCCAGGTAAAGACTGGAGCGCAGGGTCAAACCCGCAGATCATCCTTTACCCTCACCCTCGCATAAGCAGGGCATTTCTTCATCCCACGGTAGTAGATTCCAATACTCAGGTTCCAGATCAGGCTGCCTTCGCTTGTCACCTGGTTCCTTCTCCCTCCCCCAGCTCCTCAGGCACATATTCGTGCTCCAGCCAGCAGGCACTGGGGGTGATGCGGTCGCCATGGACATGGATCAAGGACACGAGAGCCCAGGTTTTAGCTGCAAAAGCAACAAGTCTCTCCCCTGCAGAGCACTGGCTGCAGGAGAGCCCTGCTGAGCGGCGGACAAAGCCGGGAGCTCAGTTGCAGCCGCTTCGCTCCGCCTCTCTTCGCCTCGCTCCCTTTCCGAGGGCACGACCTGCTGCCCCAAAACCAGGAGCTAAATCAAGGCTAGAGTCCGGATGCTCAGGGATCAAGGTCCCAGAAGACAGAGCTCTTTCTCAGTCCTTCCCCCAGTCTTGCTACACAGGGACTCCCCTGCACGTCCCACCCAGTTCGCCTGCGAGCCGGGATTCAGGATATTGATGTGAAACTTACCAGGAGGCCGAGGACTCTCCAGACTGCAGAAAGAGTCGCGCGAAGAAGACAATGTCAGCTGCCTGCGTCTCTTCAGGCGCAGGATCTGCAAGGAGGGAGGACGCCGGGCCCGCCCCCTCCGCAGCCTCTTAGCTTTCTCTATTGTGATTGGAAACCCGAGAACCGCCTACCCCTCCGCTCGCCTCGCTCAATCCCCTTCAAGGACAAGGGCTCAAGTGTGCACATTTCCCTCCTCCTCCCCAAACGAGCAGGTCACCTTCTGGTGGCTAAGGCGGCCTCCGCTTTCAGCCCGTCTCACAGTCGGCAGGCTCTCAAACACAGAGGCCGCGTTATTTCTAAAACCTGACCATCTTCGCCCCTTCTAGACTTTCAGGCTCTTGTTCAACTAGATTTAATCCGAATAGAAAAGAAAATTTAATTTTGCTTTTCAGGTCAACTTTAGTGGACCACTGTTTCTAGCTAAGGTGTTGGTGGTGTGTTCCCCTGGGATAATACTGTTTCTTCGGAATGTTTTTAAAAATAAAACTGAATTTTCCATTTTTATCATCTCAGTTATAAAGTTCATTTGATGCAACAATGACTGGTGGATTCCCCACCACCACCACCATCACCTAATTCAGCAGATAGGCATTAATTGCCTACTGGTCGTCCAACAAAACCAGTGAAGCCTAGTGCTTGCCTTCTGAACTTCTTTACAGGTCTGTGTGGTCTCGAGGGCAGAAAATATGGACCCACTAGTAAGAAGTAGTTTCTCTGTTAGTTTCAACTCAGTGCCTGGTACCTCAATGCAGTGCTGGTGAATGGATGAATGAATTATGAAAGATGAAGCAGAAATTCAACTTCGTGTGTGTGTGTGTGTGTGTGTGTGTGTCTGTGTGTGTGTGAGTTTTAATTAAAATGCTGTCAGGTAGGTATAGCAATCTCACAAACTCCCTGTATGTAAAAGAGAGTTTTTGTTAGTAGCGTGTTTGTTTGTTTGTAAGTGGCCATTAATCCTATAATTGATGCTTTAATTTCATTTGATGAAGCAGAAATTCAACTTTATGTGTGTGTGTGTGTGTGTGTGTGTGTCTGTGTGTGTGTGAGTTTTAATTAAAATGCTGTCAGGTAGGTATAGCAATCTCACAAACTCCCTGTATGTAAAAGAGAGTTTTTGTTAGTAGCGTGTTTGTTTGTTTGTAAGTGGCCATTAATCCTATAATTGATGCTTTAATTTCATTTCAGTGCCAAATACTGAAGGTACAAAGATGAATATAACACTATGCCCCTTGAGATGCTACCAATTTAGAGGAGATAAGTAGGCAAACTCTTTCAATTATATTACAATGTGATAAATGATAATAGAATTTTGACTAAATCTCTAAGAAAGGGATGTGTTTAGAGGAATTGATAAACCTTAAACTTTCTAGGATTATAGAGTCCAGTTAGTGAGAACTTTGAACATCCCTAAAGATACAGTTCAGTTACAAATTGAAACAGGATGATCAGGGAAAGGTAGAGTTTGGCAGATAATCTTGAATGCATGATTACCTTCACCTTGAATCCACCTTTGAAGCAGAACTAGCAAGTCACTCCAGCAAGAAATCTGGAAGCCACCCAAAATCTTCTTCTCATTTACTTTCCAAAACAGTTAATCTCCATCTTCTATAGACTTCTAAATATCTCTCCAATTTTCCCCTTCTTGCATTTCTTATTGTGTGTCTTTGTGTAAAGGGGGAAGAGGTGGAACAGGAAAAAGTAAGGTCGCTATTTTTTCTACCCTCATTCCCCACCCCCCCACCACCAATGAGTTACTAATCTGATTGATCAAAGTGAATTTTCCAACTACAACTCTGAATGCCAGGAAAGCTCACACTACTTGCCTCAAAAAATTTTGAGAATTGTATACCCAGGAAAGTTTTTTTTTAAGTGTGAAGTGTGAAAGACAATTTTTTATATACAACGGTTCAGACCATACACTCCCCAGTGAGGTTCATGACACACTACCCCAAAATTTGGTCCCTTGCCATATTGAATACGTTAAGCAGAAGGAATTTGAGAAAACAACAGAAGCAGAAAGGTCACTCTGACTTCCTTATATCTCCTCCTTCTTCACCGAGAGCAGGGGATGAATCTCCCATGTGAAAGGCACCCTCCTGTACCAGGAGGAAGGTAGGCATTATCATCAGGACCGAAAAATCTGTATAAATGAATTTTGTTAAAGTAATCTTTATCTTCCTAGTTCTTCACCATTTACTACCCCTAGCTCAAACTCCTCTTTTCAAAGTCTTCACATATTTATTGTTTCTTCGTCTAAAAAGTACAGAAACTTTTTGCTCTGGAGCTTTTATCCTGATCCATTGACCTCGAGGTGTTGTGACCAGAATAACCAGACCCAACTTGAGTGCTCTTAACCAGGAGACAGTTTATTAGCCGGCGGCTGTCCTTGCAAAGGAGCAGCCCCGAATTGCCAAGATACAAGGTTTTTAAGCCCCAAATCCCATTCCTCATTCTGTCTTAAACACAAAGGTCCATATTTCTTCTATTCACTACCTGTCAACCCACTGGTCAGGTGTGCAAGCGGGGAGTACAGAAGCAGAAAGCTTGTTGTTAGAATGTTATGTTCCTATGGGTGATCGCCTATGTTCCCATGGGCAATAGCCAGTGTTCCCATGGGCGATGGCCAAACAGTAATTTTCAGCTTATATACAATTGATTATTTTTCATGCCACGCAAGCAAGCAGGGTTACACAGGCTAAAATTGGCAGTTAGCGTATGAGCTCATTGTTACAAGTTTCATGATTAACAGAATGTGGTTAGGGGTTCCAGAAACTAGGCCTAAGGTATAGACTTCCTTTGTCCAGTTTCAGGTTTTAGTTATTCTTTAACCCTTTCACATTTCAGCAGGCCATTACAGGGGAAAGGCGGAGCGAGGTGAGGCTGGAAATTAAAACTCTCGAAAGATAAGGTTTGATGGGTTTCTCAGTTGATAAACATGCTAGGAGAGTGGCACATCCCAATCTCAAGCGGATGGAAGCTCCCCTGTCCTTGGGACCCTTCCAGACCTTGCCCTATGGACCTTTACATCTGGCTATTCATCTGTATCCTTTACAGTATCCTTTATAACAAACTAGTAAACATGTAAGTGTTTTTACGAGTTCTGTAAACTGTCCTAGTAAACTAATACAACTTGCGGAAACCTCTGATTTATAGCCAGTTGGTCAGAAGCACAGGTAACAACCTGGATTTTTGACTAGTGTGTCTGAAGTGGAGGCATGCCTTGATAATTTAGTAACCAATGGCTTTTGGTTTATAATGGCAGTCATTAATCATGGAATGTTAGAAGTGGAAGGAATTAAAGTGACAATCTAATTCAACCCTTTTTCTCTTTCTTTACACATACAGTAAATTAATTAATCTGCAATGTTTTTATGTATTCTTGTTTCAAGTAATAACATAAATAAAAAACCCACAATATTCCTTAAACTGTGAGATACAACACTATATCCAGGTAGATTGTATGAGAATTGAATTAAATTTATAGGACACCCAGTCGCCGTCTACTGAGAATTGGAGAATTTTTTTGGTGGTGTTGGAAAATATATCAGAGGCAATGAATGCTAAACCAGTTTATTAAGAGATAAAGCTAAATAATTTGCACCATTTTGGTTATAAAACTGAATGCAAATGTCAGAAATAACCAAAAGAGATTTATTTTTTTCAAAAATATTTATAAGACATGTGAGACAGACATGGATGAGATGCCTGCTTTTGGAGAGTGTGTATTCTAGTAGAGAATAAACAAATTAATAAAAAATGATAGGATAAAGAATGTAAATGTAATAATATATAATTGCTCTCTATCAGCTTTTCCTGCCTGTGGGCCTTTGTGAACAATATTTATGTGCCATAATAAAGCCTACTACAGAGGGTAGAGTGCTTTGCTTCTATAATAAATGACTTCAAGTTGAAGGGTTTGGTTTTATTTTTTGAAACCTTGTGCCTTTTATAAAAAGTGTGTCTTGTTATCAGATTGTCAACTATTTTCAAACCATATTCACAGAATTTTAGAATGGAATAGGAGTTTTGGTGTAATCTAATCCAAATGAATACCTACAGTTTGAGTAATTAGCCTCAAGTTACTCTGCAAGTTAAGAATAGAACTAGAAATAGTTTTGATCTCGCTGCTATGTATGTGCTTGGTGCGGGAAGCCTCTTTTAGTGCTTTTTTTTTTTTCTTACATGGTTATGAAGCCAGATTAGCTAATCTTATTAGAACTGTAAATTTCTTGAGTGTGCTTTATTCACTTTTATATCTCCAAGTAACATAGTTTAAAAAAATAATAAATGGAGCCACTTTTAAATAGAATCGGAGCTGCCATCCCAGAGGAACTGACGCACAAGACTTACTCCCCAAACCTTTGGAATGTTAAAACAAGACACAGTAACCTTTGGTCACGGCCTGCAGCAGCACTGTATCCCAAATAAGTGCTTGTAAAGAAGAAAAAAGCAGGTATTATGACTACTGGACTGAAAATCAAAGATATTCTTTAGAATTAACATCACTATGTCAGCTCATCTGCACCTATAGAAATTCTTTCTTTCCACTGATGTAATTGTTCCCCTTCCTTTTTCATAAATACCTTTTGCCTTTGCCTCCTAACAGAACACTATTTGGATTTCTGTCTGAATCAGTGCTTCCCAAGTAGCTATGTTTTTGGATCTCAAATAAATGCTTGTTGCCTCTCAATTTGGCCTTTTATTTTTAGGGCAATATCTTTAAAAATACTGTATATCTTCCAGAAAGATATTTAATAAACTTGTGGCACAATATGAGCAAATAAACTCTCTGAATTAGAACTTGGGAGGCATCTGTCACTGGTTCACAGACTCATTTACACCACTTTCTATGGATTGTTTTTATTTCACGATCTTAGATATTTTTCAGATAGTTGAGGTATCTTGAAGCCAAATTTTAGGTGGGCAAGTTGAAACTATAATAGCAATATCTGCTTATAAATAAAGAATTGATGTTGGTGGGTGTCACAAATTACAAAAAAAAAAAAAAAGAAAAGAAAAGAAAAAAAGAAAAAAAGGGCCAAGGAAAGAAACCAAGATTCGTGGGGAAAGAAGAGAATTGAAAGTTGAATGTCTTCCAAAGCAAGACAATTAGATTTTAATTGTCTAGCCATTCAGTGGATAGTTGTAAAATGGAGTGCCTTTTCTGTGGACATAATAGGGAGGTAATGATCTTGTCTTGAAATTTTAGGTGGGCAAGTTGAAACTATAATAGCAATATCTGCTTATAAATAAAGAATTGATGTTGGTGGGTGTCACAAATTACAAAAAAAAAAAAAAAAGAAAAGAAAAGAAAAAAAGAAAAAAAGGGCCAAGGAAAGAAACCAAGATTCGTGGGGAAAGAAGAGAATTGAAAGTTGAATGTCTTCCAAAGCAAGACAATTAGATTTTAATTGTCTAGCCATTCAGTGGATAGTTGTAAAATGGAGTGCCTTTTCTGTGGACATAATAGGGAGGTAATGATATTCTGAGTTAGATGAGTAGTTTTGAGTTGACCGTAGTGGAGTCTAGTTGGATGTGGACTAGTTTGTTCACAGCAGTATCGGACCCCTTTTGTGCCTGAACAATAGATGGGCTCAAACCAAAGAGTATGCACGGATTTTTATTTCTCTCGTCATTGGAGGCTGTTTTTCGGGGTGTGCGAAAGACAGCAATGTATTCCTCTTTGACTAAACACGTCTCTCGTATGAAAAAATGCCCTCTTCCTTTCTCTTACCAGAGGCATAATAAGGCTCAGATGAGCCTTGGTAAGGGTTCAGTCCTCTTAGGGTGACATTGAGAAGAAAATATTCACACAGAGTGAATTATACACCAGATTAGAGTTCACAATTTTTGCCTGAAGATTAATTTTCTGTCAAGCCAGCTCCTGCTGAGCCAGTCAGAAAACAGAACTTTCCTACAGCTTTCAAGCTTTCCGCGGGGAGCCAGGGTGTCCTTAAGGTCGCCTGAGCTGTTTCTGGGAACAGAGGTGACCATCCCACATGTCCTCAGGTCATGGCAAAAGTCTTCATTGTGTGAAGTCCTCCGATAACTGGCAACAACTCTCATTCCTAGAACCTTGATCTCATACTCTTTCTGGTGCCAAAGGCTTTTGTTCTATAGTTATAAATACTTCTTTTCTTCTTTTAGAGACCCTGAAGAAGATAAGAAAGAATCTAATATAATGGAAATGCTTACAGTAAAATTAACGGCCCTTTGCTCTTTCCTTCTCATGCTCAGTCCGGATCCTCAGAGCAACCTCTTCTTGTTCCTGACTTCTTGAACAGTAGCCCTGATGTTCAGCTGCTTTTTCCCATCTTTCCTTGGACTCTTAAAATATGGATGAGTCCGTAGTCCTTTAAAGCGCACCAATTTATGAGGTAAGAAATGTTATCACTGTGATTTTTAACTGGAAAACCCTGGGGTTCACTTGTCTAAAGTCTTCTTAGAGTTCTGTAAAGCAATACACATCTAGGAATTTGTTTTACTTTAAGAAGAGCTTTCATTTATTGTAAAAAATAAAGTTCTAGGTGCCAGACGTGTAATATGTCATGTGATACATGCAATTATATGAATTAATTACATCTACTATTTATTAACTCACCTAATCAACTCACCTAATCATCATTTCAAGCTTATGACATTCTTATTTTCCTCATTATACAGATGAGGAAACTGAGGCACAGAGGGTTAATACTCTGTCCAAGATCACATAGCTAATAAGCAAATTTTTAAAATCTGAGAATCATTCATAAAAGACAGATTTATACATATTTTTTCTTTTTAAAAATATCACTTTAAATATTTCAAGAAGTCAGGAAGGCTATAAATATTCAATCATTCAGAAATGCCATGATTTATTTAACTACTCTTATATTTTGAGACATTAGACTTTTTACTATGATAAATAACATTGCATAAATATTCTTGTACACAGTCATCATCTGTATTTTTTATTCTTCCAAAGGATCTCTGAAAGTGAAATTACCGGGCCACAACATATGAGAAAATTGTTTTCCAGAGAGTGTACCCTTTTATGCTCCCCAGCCATGCCTGTCTTAAGATTTTATTTTTGACAATTTGTCAGATGAAAATGACATTTTGTTCTAAATTTACTTAACTTTGATTATTGGTAAAGATGTATACCTTTTGAGTATTAATAGAACAGTTGCTTTTTTTTTTTAACTTTCCAGTATGAGCTCATTTCCTACAGTCATATTGTTTTTTTCTACTTAGCAACTGTCATCACCTTACTTATGAAATCAGACAAGAGCTTTCTGTTCTTCTCTCTCCTCTTCCTGTCTTTTAGATACATTGAAGCTGCTCAAGAAAAGAAACCGTCTGAACCTGGAACAACCAAAAGAAATAAGAATTGAAAGAAGGCAAGCATAAGAGAAGCCAGGTGATGGCTTTTGAACCTCTTCTCTGTACTTTTTCAGGTAAGAAAATCACTGACCACAGAAAGGGTCTTTACTGACCATTTTAAAATCATACTTTCATTATTTATTTTAACACCAAAATATTAAAAGTATAAGTGATTTTTAAAATCTCTTTATTCTGAAATGATTTGACTTACAAGAAGTTGCAAAAATTGTTTGGAAAGCTCTCATGAACCCATCACTCAGTTTCTTTCAATAATAACACCTTACTTAACCATTGTACATCATTGAAGCCAAAAAAATGATATTGGCACACTACTATAAATTAAACCATGGACCTCATTTAGATTTCACCAGTTTTATATGCATCTGAGTGTTTTAAAAAATATATTTCTTTATATTGAACAATTTGTGCAATATGCACAGATAATTTTTCTAACTAGAAAATAAACACAAATATTTAAAAATACGTCAAGCACTACCTAGGGTTTTAGGCAGTGTCAACCGGCTCAAGGAAATCCTCCCACTTTTATGGTAGAAAATGTTGCAGAGAACATATGCCTCAGGCATTTGGGCTATGGACTGTTTATTGTATTTAAATTAGTTATTATCTAACTTAGAGTCTTGTTCACTACTTAACGAAGGTTAAAATGCAACTTTCTGCAGTGCTCTCGTGCACCACAAAGGAATTTGTTTCTAGCACTCATCTATAACCAGTGATTGAAATCAGCGAGCTTCATGGGTTTCTAAAAGTGATTTCCCTGCAGCTGTGTTTACCCTTTGCTCTAAAGCTCATTGGTACTTCTCGAGCAAAAATATAATAAGGAATACTTTTCTGATCTGCATTTAAATATAGAGTCTCATTTTATTTTTCTGATCTTAGCCTATAGGAAAAAAAGAAAAAAAAAATCAACAACAGAGAAAACAAAACTAAAAAAGAATGTTACAGAAAAACAGGTGCACCAAAAAGCTGCCTAAAATATAGATTCTTGATGTTTCTTATTAAATGAAAAAAATGCGTGCTATTTTGGCATAGGACATAAGAGAACTAATATTTATTGAGACCTGCTAGATGCCATACTGGGCACTTTAAGTGGCCTAATATAGTTTTGGCAGTATAGTCAATAGTGTACTGATGCCTTTGACCTTTAGACAATTGTCTAATAGCATTTAATGAAGAAGAGTGACAATCTAATGAAGTAACAGAATCTCAGTAAAGCCAGAGGCAGAAGAAAACATCAGCCAATTTATGGTTAATTAAGTGATACCATACTGTCAGGTTATCTTATTTTAATTGTTTTAATTTTATTCTATAAATAGCCCATGATTTTAGAAAAAAATGAAAAAATATAAAAAACGTACAAAGTAGAAAGCAAAAGTCCTCACTTTCCCCATCTCCCAGTTCTTAGAGGTGATCATTGTTAACAATACAACGTGCATGCTTTCTAGCTCCACATCCTAAGTAAAAGACATAGCTGAAATTTTGTTAGTGTACAATGACTCTAATAAAGCCTATTCATTTTCAGAAGTAAATTATTTATTCATAATATTGTTTAATTTTAGCCATTATATTTTCTAGTTTTAAATATTAAAAATCTTATATCACCATTTAGGAATAATTTTCTATGATCATTTTTTTTTCTCTTACTAGTTTGGAACTTAATAACAATTATTAAAATTCAGTTAGTGAACTTGGTGCTTTACCTACATTAACATATATTAACATGTTTAATCCTTGTAAGAACCCTTTAATCTAGGTGCTACAGATTCTCCCTATTTAAAAGTTGGGAGTTTGAGGCACAAAGAAGTCAAATTCATTGCTAAGACCATGAAGCTACTAAGTGGTGATTCTAAGAATTAAACTAAGAAGGACTTGAAGTCATCTATGTCAATCTGCTTAATAAATATAGTATGACATGTCAACTTTTTTGATCCTTGTCTGCTTCAGTTTGTATAGTTTTGTAGTTATGTCTTCTAGTTTACTGAAAATTTTTTTGTGTAGTTTCTAATTTTATTTCAAGTCCTTATGATATATTTTAAATTTTAGAAATGATATTTTCATCTTCAGAAATTCCATTAGGTTATGTTTATAGTTTCAATAGCTCTCTAGTTTATATTCATATTTTCCTTTACGTCTTTGAATGTGTGTGTGTGTGTGTGTGTGTGTGCATGTAAAGTTCAACTATCTTTTCCATTTCTTTTCTGTTTGTATTAACTGTTTTTTTTTTCCCCCTTAGTAATAGGTCATATTTTCTTGCTTCTTCCCATCTGTAGCCTTTTTTTTTTTTTTTTGGATCCTGGACATTTTGCTGTATTCTATAAAGAGTATTGAAGTTTCTTTGAAAGATATTCAAGTTACTTGTGGATCAGCTTGATTCCATTGAGGTTTGTTTTTAAGCTCCTTTAGAGCAATGTTACACTATGGTGGTTTACATGTATCAACAAGCTGTTACGCTTCTGGAGTATGTACTGAGACCTTGAGTCTTCAACAGGATTTCTACACAACAGCTGATCAGAATTCAAATATCACCAAATCTCATTTGGGTTCTGAGAGTCATTCAGTTTATATTTCCCTGGAAATTGTTCTTTGCTGACATCATATCTTATGTGTACCACATGATCCAGCTGCCTCAATTTTCCTGAATGCTAACTTTTGTCTCTTCGGCTCTGTCAGACTTCAGTGCTTTTTTTTGGATGCTTTCTACTTACATTGTGGTCCAAGAAAACACTTCCTGGAAAAAGTCAAGTCACCTATAAAGCTTAGACTCTTTTCTGTTTTTCAGAGATCGTGGTCTTGTCATACCTGTTTTCCAATGTCTAAAAACTGTCATTTGTCTTATTTTGTTTAATTTTCTAGTTGTTTACATTTGCGAGTGCAGTGTCATTTACTCTGTTGTGGCCCCAGATCCTCTTTCCATAAACAAGCATTGAAGAAAATTCTCAATTTCCTATTATATTAGAGTAAAATAGGTCCTTCGAATGGTTAAGATTCAGGCTGACATTCATGGCATTGTATATTTAGAAGCATTTTGAAGGATTTTGAATTTTATTTTAAAATTGTACTACATACATCATTTTGAAATTATAGTAGTGCGATTTAAAAATATATTCTAAGTGTCACACTTTAAATCAATATTTTTCAAATATTGTATACAAAAAATTTATTCCAGTGGGTAAGGGATTCAAGTTCAAGAGTCCGCATGTTTAATAAATATCTGAATGACTCTGATACAGGTTTCCAAAGCATGCATTTTGTGAAAAGCTGTTCTAAACCTTTCAACAGTCTAAAAGCTTACCTTTGACTCCCTATCTTACTTACCTCCTTTACTCTACTCCTGAAAAAAAGGCACATATCAAGGCACACAAAGCCAAATGATTTGATCAAGGTACTAGGCAAATACAGGAGGCAGTAAGAGTGATAATCACAAGTGTACATTCTCAGTCAGATTGTCTAGGTTTGAATTCAGGCTTTCCCATTATTAGCTGTATCAAAGTGCATAGATAATGTAATCCTTCTGAACCTTTCTCATCTGTAAAATAGGCATAAGAATAGCATCGGACTGTAATGAAGCTCAGTTACATAAATTATGTGTAAGATATGCTCTCTAACTGCAATCAAGAGTGAACTAATAATCTCTGGTCTTAATCAAGAGTGAACTAATAATCTCTAAGAGTGAACTAATAATCTCCAGAAATCTTTTCTTAATCCAAACAGGGCAAAAGAGCTCTCTTACTGCTTTGCACCTTGAGCATATATCCATATGGCCACAGCATTGGTGCACCTGTGCATGTGAAAGGGACTTCTTAGAATGCTGTGACACAATACTCACACCAACAGGTAGAGTCTGTTAATTTATCTGTGAACTGCAAACTTGTAGAGGCCCATCTTTCATCTCTGTATTCTCAGTGCCTGAAACAATTTAAAGCATACTGTAGAAAATAATTTAATGATTTATTTTCTCTTTTAAATAGATGAATGAATGAAGATTATATGAAAACATGGAAGCCTCATACCCTCTTGCTGTTCCAGCTGCTGCTTTTTTTCTCTCCTCCAAGACCTTGTCCTTTTCCTCCTTCATCTTCTTTTTTGATGTGTTTTAGCAAACTTCGTTTTGCATTCCTAACCTCTCTTTCTAGGCACAGGTTTTGAGCAATAGATTTTATAGGGCTTTCTAAATTCTTCCAAGCTCAAGAGGATGATTTACATATCAGGGAAACCTGAGACTAATGTCTCTACTTTGAATGTTCCACTAGGGTGAGGAGGAAAGGTCATCTTAGGGCATTCTCTCAGAGTTACATTTACACCAAGATATGAACCTGTAGAAGGACAGAACAAGAATTTGTACTGTTCATTGTTACATTCCCACATTCCTGGCACCCAGTAACCATTCAATAAATACTTGATGGGTAAAATTTACATCTCTCACTGTGCCATTAACACTTTCTTGAATCTCTCTCTTTTCAGTATCCTACAATGCCGGCCTTTGTAGTGCTTATCAGTGTAATTTAAAGTGTCCAGAGTCAAAATTTGCTCTTACTTTGATGTTTCAAAATTTACCATTATTAATCCATCCCTGTTATAGACTCAATGTTTGTGTCCCTCTAAAATTCATGTGTTGAAACCTAATCCCCGATGTGGTATTTGGAACTGGGGGCTTTGGGAGGTGATAAATGAGCATGGAGCCCTTCGTGAATGAGATTTGTGTCTTTATCAAAGACATCCCAAATAGCTCTATTGCCCCTTCTGCCCTCTGAGAATACAGAGAGAAGATGACAGCCATTCATGAACCAGAAAGTGGGCTCTCAACAGATAGTGGTTCTGTCGGAAACTTGATTTTGCACTTCCCAGCCTCAGAACTGTGAGAAATAAATTTATGTTATTTATAAGCCACCTAGTCTATGGTGTTCTGTCATAACAGCCCAAACTGACTAAAACAATCCTTAATTGATCCTTCTTAGGTTTGATTATTAGCTCTTCTTTTTGCATCTGTCCTTAGTATTGGTGCTTTCCAGGATTCGGTGTGATGCCAGAATCTCACCCCCCTCTATCCGTGCTGCTTGGACCATTAACATCATTCCGATGGCATCAAATTTTTCTTACCCTTAATCTCTATCTCCTGCTCAGACCTCTCTCTGAGCCTCAGTCCTCTATTTCTAGCCGTCTCCTGGATAGATTGCTTGGAACGATTACAGGCACTCAGACTCAGCCTGTCCATGAGGAAGCACCTCCGCAGCATGCTTTTCCTTCCTTTCAATAGCTGTCAAAGATCGAGACTATTTTAGCTACAGGCAAATTCTTGCTCTTGAATGTATGTCTTGAAACATAATGAAAAATATTTTTATATGCCTAGACTATGAAAACCGCCACTTGTACTTTCTTTAGGAAAGAGAATTTGAGTATCTGGGGTGGGTAGAAAATTTACTTTTCCCTGGATATTTTGATACCTTTTTTCAATTTTTACCATATACATGCATATCTATTTAAACAATAATAATGAAAAAAAAAACGTAATGAAAGGAGATGGGAAATGTTTTTTTTATAAAAATTCACATAGAAAACTGACCTCTCAGGAATTCACTCAGAAGGAGCTGCCCCACTTTCTTCCAGAGTGTGCTTTGCTGAAAGAGACAGAGAAGATGGGATAATTTATTCATGAGTACATGCTCTTTTTAAGCAAGCCTGTTCAAAGGTAGTGATATTGTTTCAAGTTCTTCTGAAAACAAGTTAAAGGGTGTCTAAACTTTAAGCACTATTCATTAATTCAAAAACACTTTGAGTTCCAGGCACTGTGTTAAGAGCTGAGGACACAAAGTTAAATAGCTCATAGTTGCTGGGCTCAAATTGCTTAGGGTCTAGAGATCGTGAAACGCTGTGCTAATGAGCAGGGATATTTGGAGCCTCTGGCCTCGCCTGTGAGCATAGAGGGTTTAGGCAGGCAGAGAAGGCTTCCTGAGAAATGGAGACTGTCTGTACTCCTAGGATTGAGCTGAATAAACCTCAGCTCAACCTTAGGAGAAGGAGAAAAAGGAGAGGAAGGGGTAAATCAGAGCTAAGACATTGAGACATGGAATGACAGACTGAAAGCTATAGAATGACAAGTGACTGAATTGTCAGAGCATGAAGTGCAAGGTTTTAGTCACATCATCTTCTTTCACTTAATTAAGGAACTGGGGCTGTGTGTCTGTTTAAACCAGAGAACGTTCTTTGTACTTAATGTTTCATATTTCCTGAGAGGTTTTAGTTTACCTTTCTACACTGTCTAAAATCCCATCCATTGATGTAAGCCTTCCTAACCTTTCAGTAGACCGATAAAACCTCTAAAGTTTTATATAAAATTGTGTATATATGCACATGTGCATTTTTTCCAAGAGAGAGTCCAGATATGTCATCGGCAGTTTCAAAAAGTATCTCTCTCATAATTTCTCTCTCTCTTTCTCTCTTTCTCACACATACACACATCATACTCAAAATATGAATATTTCTTTAGTTATAAGCTTTTAAAATGCAGATAACTCTGGAAGAGTTGAAGGAACTCACAAATATTTATTCCAGCAGTTCCCAAACATTGGACAATCCCCCAACAAGAGTGAAAACCATTTCACCCACCCGAAGTCTGCAGCTATTAAATTTCTGATGGTTCCAGATTGGGTGATTAGAGCTTCTAAGGTGCACAGACTATACTATATTTATACCTAGTAGGTACTGCACAAATCTATGTAAACCCTTGAATCTAAAGTTGTTTAAAAAGTATTGCTAAATGGTTCCATAGAACGTCTTTGTCACTTTTACTGAGTCACAAGTCCCCCGAGCTGCCTGGGAACTTTCTATGTAACTATTTCATGTCTAGTTATGTGTAGGCTATATAAACTAAGCCTGTTGGCCTTTTAAAAAAAGTAAATAGGTAATCTTGCAAGGAAACCAATACACGAATTAGGTCAGAAATTTATTTACTTCCTGCCTAGACCAAACTTAGTTTCTTCTAGTGCTGTTTTTTAAAAAGTCTTTTTTTTGTTGTTGTTGTTAGTTTGAAAAAAAAGTTACAAAACTACTTCTAATGGAAGACTAGATTTTTCTGCCTGACATGATGCACCTACAGAGGAGAACTGAGAATGTGTATGAGCTCCCAATGCAATACCTGAGAGAAACAGTGAGCATGATCATTTCTTAAATTAATTGATTCTTATGTTCTTCCTTTATTTGCCCAGTTAATTATGTCTGAGCACTTCAAGTTTATTATGTTTCTATTTGTCCTGCAATGAAATTGATATAAAGAAAATAACACAATCGAAGGGATAAATCTTAAAAGATACTATACATGAATAGGGAGAATATAATGGACTTTAACAATAAATGAACTCTTTCTCTTTTTTTGTAAAACTCTTCCTTTCCTCCTTGCTTGTCTGTATTTATGATACATACCTTATTATCAATTTAATTTCTTTCTTCTTCCAAAACACCCCAAGAATCAATGATTTTTATTGAGTATATTGACTTTTGAAATGTTTTCTTTTTCCTTTATGTAGAGCATAGTGATTAAGAACTGGGTCTCTAGAGTAGGAGAAAACATTTTGAATCTCATTTTTGCCATTTATCTATGCAGCTTTAAGAAAATGTCTTCATGCTAATATTCAGTTTCCCTTAATGAAAATTAGGAAAATGGGAGGACATAATTCATAGGGTTGTGAGGATTACATAAATAAGCAGATGAAGTATAATCACTAGTTAGTTATGTTTATTCTACATATTTTTCTGCTTCTATATATTACCAGTACGCAGATGATTTATACATTTTTTAAAATTAGATGTGAATCTATGGTGTTAGCAGTCTGGGTAGTGGTGTTGGGGGTGGTGACTGGCAGGGGTCTTGATGGTGCTCTTGGTTCTGATAACCTTCAGTCTCTAGATCTAGGTCCTGGCTACACAGGTATATTCACGTTGCAAGAATTTATCATCTGTGTGCCTGTGATTTGTCTATTCTTCTGTATGTACATTATGTTGCCCTAACAAGTTTGCACACAAAAAATAGCAAACAAAGAAAAAGAAGGATGTGAATATTATGCACATTTGATTCGAAGTGGCTTGCAAACAAGTTCCTCTCTTTGATAGAAATCTCAATTCTGAATGGAATGCAAATTCTAAAGATATTTAATATGAGAAATGGAATTGGCCACAGATGACTCTTTGGACATATAAAAATCTCAGAATAGTTTTACTGTGTATTGAATAAATATCGAATTGAAAAATTGCAGGATGAACATATGAAAATATAAATTATGGAAAATTGATTCCATAAGATCTGAGAAAATGCACAGCAAAGATTCAAATAGGAACGTAGAATTAGTCAAGAAATAATGCCTAGAGAATGTTTTTGAAGAGCATCTTGAAGCAAGGTATGTACATGGATTGAGAAAGAATGACACAAGCAATTTTTTCATAGAGAGAATGTGTATAAAATATGGAGGTGGGAACAACAGCAATGTTCACAGAAAGGTAAACGATTTGTTAGACTGGGTTGAGGACCAAGGTTGCAAAGGGTTGTAAAGAAACGATGAGTGTGGAGCAGTTTATAAAAGGCCTTAACTGGTAGGGAAATATGAAAGCTCCTTTTGTTAACATGCAAAGTATAAGCATTTTTAATGATTCCCATACAATGTTAACAGAGCTTGACTCTGTATTTCACACATCACCTAGGAATATGAGACACGATACAAAACAATCGTCATTTAAATACCACTCTGTAGCGTAGCCTACGAAATTCCCAAGATGGAATTGGTGTTTGGAACCATTTCAAAGACTTTACAGAGAATTTCCAAAATAATATTAACAAAATTTACTGTAATTTATTAAAGCCAATATTTTATATCTGAAAGTTGAAGGGCGAACCTTAAATTAAACAATCATCTGGGAATTGGAATGCTTCAGCTTCTGAACCTTTCCAAGAACAATGAATAAATTAACTGGAAACGCAAATACGGGCCAGTTTAAGGACTTGTTTGGCACCTAACCTTAGGCAGTCAAGTTGTGGCTATCAGTAATGCTCGTAAACACTGCCACCTACTGGAAGTTTTCTAGAAATGCTGCGCGCAATGTTAAAATAGAACCAACATTTTCTGTTTCATTCAGTCTGACCTCACTCATCTCTTTCTAGTCTACCCATCACGTAAATCATAAGTAGAAGCTAAGGGAACAGGAAAATGTAACAGCAGTGTTGACAATTTCTATTTTTCTGATAATTTATGTTTTGTTTAATAAATATCACTCTTAATACAATTAAAATGAATTTTTAAAAAACCTCATTAGAGGTCAGAGTTGTTAAGAGGGTGACTTTTGGACTGAGACAGATCTGATTAAATCAGAAATCTAACACTTGTTAATTTTGCGGCTAAAGCAATTTTGTAGTAAATTGCTCAATCTTTCTAAACCTCAATTTATTCATTATAAATTGGAATATTCTGAACATTCGAGCTAATACATATAAAACACTAGTATATAGTATTCATTTAACAAATTATAGTTATTCATCGAAACTATGCTAATAATAAATATAAGGACAACGGTTTGAAGGTTTAAACCAACTTTTATCGAGGAATGCATTTGGGATCTTAGTCCAGGTTCCTTGGATTGTTAATTTTTTTAATAGCCTCTGCAAGGCCAATCTATATGCAGCCATTAAAGGGAGCATTGATTAGGCAGCACGTAGGAAAAAGCTGTGAAGCAGTCATGATGTGCAAAAGCCTGTTGTCAGTACTTTGTAGATACCTCAGAGTTAACATTTTTTCTAGGGATCAGATATAGACAGCTAACACAGGCAACGTTTTGCTTAGGGCAAAAAGAGGACTCTTCTTCACTTTATGCCCAGAGAACACTCAATTTCTGACACAAGGGAGAAT